GATAATCATTAAGAGAAAGTTATGATTGAGGGTTATTTTTTCATAGGCATGGTCTCAGTTAAGCCCATTTACTTAGGAAAAAAGACTTATATTGATCAAGAAGTAGTGAGAATATTGAAAGCAACAGGATGTGCTTTGATCTAAAAAATGGCAAAATGGCTGGAATCTCCAAAGAAAAAACTGTTTTTAAAGATGACAAGCAGTCTTAGTGTTTCTATGCAAAATCAACATTAAACACAAGAGACTAAATATATAGACATGTGCTTGTGTGCACACACACTGACAAGCCCTGGTGGCACCTTGCTGCCATTAAAAGAACCGAAGGAAGCATTTCCAGAAGGATTTACCCTGGATCAGTTCCCAAACATTTGCAAACAGCTTCGGTCAAAAGTGCAAGATCTTAACATTGAGCTTAAATGAGAGCCTATTTGGCTATAGACAAGAAGCCAGGCTACATGGAGAAAGAAAAATAAAGTGCAATGATTTCATTAAATGATTCAAGATTATATTTCAGCTTTGGTTTTGCTATGGAAGAAGCTAAAAATGTCAACGGGAACTATTTAGACCCCACTTTTTTTTCTTTTTTTTTTAATTCAAGAGATGACTATTATAAGCTGACTTTACTGAAGACGGAGGCCTAGGTGTCATGGGGGAAACAGAAGAGAAAGACGTAGTCTTTACTTTGCATTTCATATGCTCATAACCTAATGGGAAGTAATGGCACTAGTCATAGTATAATAGTAACACAGCAAATATTTTTACAGTGATTTCCCTGTATCAGGCACTGTTCTAGGTGCTTTAAATTTATAAATAATTTGCAGCAATCCTGTGGGGTCGGTGATGAGGCCAGGTATCTAAAATGTGATAATATCTTACAAAATGATGCCCTAATTATTCCTAGAGCCCTAGGAATGCCCCGCTTCTTAGTCAGAAAGGGAATGGGTGGTGGATGGACATGGACTCGAGTTTACATAATGTGCCCGCCCCCAGCACAGCTGTAATTCTGGGCTTTCACTAGAACTCTGATGTTGGGTTTTTGCGTCAATAGAACCAGCTTGCCCTTGCGTCTTTTCTGATGCACATTAACGCTGTGTGTACAACTCCATGTTTGTAGTTAGCTCTCAATATAAAGTTTTATTTTTTTAGTTAGGTAAGGGGCTTATGGGAACACTCACAAAGAAAGGTGATAGTTGGTCTCAAAAAAAAAGTCAAGAGGAATGGCAAACTGACATGAGAAGGAAGGAGCAGCAGGTGATATGTGCAGCTTCTAGAGAGTAGTTCATTTTAATTGCAGGGAAAAGGTTGGGAAGAAGAGGATTTAGTATCTGATCTGGAAAGGTAAGCTTCTCTGAAGCTTCCGGGGTCGGGATTGGCCAAAAATGGCCTGCGTCTTTGTGGACAGCTCATAACTTAAGGATTGCGGTACAGTTTTAAATGATTGAAAAAAAATCAAAAGAAGAATGTTAAGTGATACATGAAAGTTATGTACAACTCAGGTTTTCGTGCCTGTAGATGAAGTGTGATAGGCACCTGGCCACACGAATTCACTTACATGTATCAGAGAACACGTGACCTGCAAAACCTAATTATTGACTATCTGGTCCTTACAGGAAAAGGTTGCTGAGCCCTGCCACAGTCTTAATGCTTATTTCTTTTAATCCTAAAGTCCGTCATCCTTCAGTGACAATAAATTGAAACAATCTATTTTATAGTTTGGGAAAGAATATACCACACAAGTCTGCTGCTTTCTTTGAGTGTGTCTGACATAGATGTCACTTGACAGATGACAAAGCGAACTCTAGAGGTCCCAGAATGGCTCTGATGGCATCACTAGTTTGGGTCTACATTTGTTATTTTAACTTTTTCCCCCCCAAATATAACCTTGCTCATTAAATCCAATAGTTAGGGAATGTATTACTTATATAGAGAAATCAAGAAGAAAGAGAAATGGGAATTAAAATTTCATTGCAGAAGCTTTTTCTTCAGTTCGTTTAATACCCTATCCATCACACCAGATCCCTCTTTGGGAACTAGATGTCTAGCTTATTCGGAGTTGCTCTGGATATCATTTCGTGTAGCAATTCCTTTTATCTGTAATCTTGATTCATAGCCATTCATATGAATTTTTTTATTGCTTTATTTTCATAAAGCTTTCAGGCAACCAATCATCATGCATGATACCATTTCTTTATGATTCATTGGCAGCCAGATGTCAATACCTCACGTTGTCGTGTTTTAGACACATTTCAAAAAACAACGTGCTATAAAATAATGGCTTTCATTTGTGCAGTAAATTTTAAATGATTCTCTCCTAAGTCGTCAAACTTTTACTTGTGTACAGGACAACTTTGTGTCCCTTTTGGTAAACCTAAATGAGTGTCTTCAAATTTGTGGTTTTGAATTGATTTAAAAACTGATGATACACAGGAATTTTTAACACAAGCTATCATATGTGGACACATACATAAAAATAGGATTTCTCCTATAATTTGTCAATTGGATAAGCAAGGTAAGAACAAGCTAAATAGGTTAGTATCCAAAATATTTGTACATTTAGAGTTTCTAAATAAATGTATTTGGATAAATAAGAATGGTTTGTTAGCAGAACCCAAATTAAGTATTGGGTTACATGTATAGGCCCAAGAAAATTTTAATGATGAGGTCAGTTTCTTACAAGAAGATGTGCATCACATTTACCTGATGAGCCTTTTAAAAATATATAGGCATGTGCCTCATACTGGATCTGCTGAAACAAATCTTGGAAGGGGCGCCAGGCATGTGTTAGAAAGTTCCCCTGGGTGGTTCTCATTTTCACCTTTGGTTGAATCACTGGGCTATAAATATTTTAAGATAATAGGCAACAAAAAAGGTGGCCTCATAAAAATATCACTGCATTTGTTAATGAGGTATTGTTTAGGGCACTGTCCCCACATGCCCCAGCCTTTTCACAGGAAACTTGAGGTAAAAATTCCAAATGCATTTTCCCATAGCAGTTCCATTTAGTTTTGTAGTCAAGAAAAGCAATATACCTTTTACTGTTTCTTCCCCTGTCTTTCACTTCAGCCATCGGGATTCTCTAGGACAAAAGTATGGTTCAGTTGTAAGGCTCTTGTGGACTGGAGATCTACATTCTAGTTTTTTCTCATTCAACAGGAATTTATTGAGCCTCTTCTATGTACCAAACTCCTAAGAGGCACTGAGAATGCCAGTGATGATCCAGACAGTCTGAGCTGGTGTTCTCCTGGGTGGGGCAGGTGGGAAGCCAGGAAACAATAAGTGCTCCCTGGTCTAGACCCTGTAAACCTGTTCTGAGTACTTACACATTTCTCCCTCAGTATTACTTAGAAATGAGCCATGGAATCTCTTTACTGTAATATTTGTGCACAAACACCACACACACATACACATAGTTGACATGGGATCACTTTTTAGTAAATTCACTGGCAAAGTTTTGGAGATATGTGAGAATTTGAAAGCATTTTCTTTTCTCTAGTTTACTTTATTGTAAGAGTATATAATATATATAACACAATATATGTGTTAACCAAATTTATTGTCAGTAAGGCGTCTGGCCAACAGTAGGCTATTAGTAGTTAAGTTTTAGGGAGTCGTAAGTTATTCATGGACCTTTGACTACACAGGGGTTTGGTACCTCTAAGCCCTGGTTGTTCAAGGGTCACCTGTATATACACAATATACATGCTTATATTTTATATGTACATGGGTGTTCATAAATATGTGTATTATATTGTATATAAGCAGCATGTATATGTCATATATATATATATACACACACCATATATAAAGTGTGTGTATATATAGATATATCCTATGTTATATTTATATAACTACATTGTTTTATTTAATATCACATCCTTTTAAGATGAGTTGGGATGTATGGATATGTACATGTGTGCACACCCATATGCCCATATACATGATAGATGAATTTAGATTACAATTCTTAACATTACATTTTAGCCCATTTTTCTTAATTTTTCTTAAATAACCATTAAGTAAAAATGACAAGTAAATTATGCTTTGTATTTGATAGTATTTCTGTCAAAGTCTTCTTAAATTCTTTTTGTTTTGCATTATTAAATATAAAGAATATTATGGGACAGTTTTTTATTGGTGAGATCGAGATTAAAAGTCACAAAAAGCTGTGACTCTGTATCCCTTGAAGAAAGAGAGGCATGTCATTGTCACAGACACCTTTAACATGTCGTGTGTATAATTTTTTTTTTTTTCACAGAAGGTGCCTCACTGGTGCAACATTTAATTGCCATTAAAATTTTTTTTATAAGCTGCCACTCAGTTTGACTTGGGTCACAGTTTTTGAGGAAAGCGTTAGCATGTTATTCTCGTGGACACTTACAGAACAGAGATTCTGGAACATACTGTCAACCATCTTATACAAATGAAAAGAGATTCAGGGACCGCTAATGGAGGCACAGTAAAGCCCTAACAATGGGCACTTCACTGAGAACTGGTTGTGTTTTCAGAACCGTGATAAACTCAGCAGGCCCCCTCTTACTGCCTTGGGTGCTTCTGGAGAGCCTTAAAGTGCAGGACTGTGAAGGGAGGCCCTGAAATCAAAGAAAATCATCTTTTAAATGAGAAATTCAATGGAATTTCTCTTTCATTGGCACCCTAGATAGGGCAGTTGAATAACATAGTTGAAGAATGTTACGCTGATGGTCCCTGTTGGAAAAGATTTTTAAATTTTATCAGTTGTCTTTCAAATAATACGCTCAAGACCTGCATTGGTCCATGCCATGTATGGCCACGGAGTGGGTTCAGTTAGCTCAAAGTTAAGTCTGTGAGTCAGAAAGGCAGCACAGATTCTGATTGGCATTATTATTTATTATTTTTAAATGCTGATGGCACATTTTCAGGACTGAGTCCTTCCTATGCTTATTGACATTCATAAATGAAAAGGCTTTGCTCTGCTGACAATTTCATTGGTAATTTAATTTCTCTAATAACTTTCTTTACAGGACCTGGATTTTGAAGCCAAAACAAGTTACACCCTGCGGATAGAAGCTGCAAACAAAGACGCCGACCCTCGCTTTCTAAGCTTAGGGCCCTTCAGTGACACGACTACCGTGAAGATAATGGTGGAAGACGTGGATGAGCCCCCGGTGTTTTCCTCGCCCCTGTACCCCATGGAGGTGTCGGAAGCTACCCAAGTTGGGAACATCATTGGCACTGTAGCAGCTCATGACCCAGATTCTTCCAACAGCCCTGTGAGGTAAAACTCCTTTTCTGCAGCTTTACCACAACCTCATGTTTCCACATTATGATACTTTTGCTTCATAGCAAATAAAACCAGTTTTGTATCTGTATTGAGCCATAGCAGCAGAAGTGAAATAGGATCAGAACAACTCAACATTTTACTAATTTACAAGCGTTTCACCTGATTATCCAAGGTCATTATTATGTAGCAATATTTTTAGGCATCCGTTATTATCCGCAAGCCATAGCTTATGATATTCAGCCAATCATCCTGAGCTCCTTCAAAGAAAACTGTGTTCAGAGGTGAAATAATGCATCTCCTAGTGGTAGGATACTGCATGTACTAGAAAACTAATTTTATAAACAATGCACATTAGGGATTCATTTTTAAACAAATCTTTTTCCATATTGGTCTATTTGGATAGCATATGTTTGTTTAGTTTATTATTTCTATTTATAGAAAGTAAAATAATGTTTACCTATATATAAGGATTATTTTTAAATGTCCTTTCAGTGGTCTTATATCAAGACTAGGCACATTGTTATAACCAACTAATCTCTTTAGAAATAACAGAATGATGATATTTAAGCATTTCAAAATATCACAACATTCTGCTCTACACTTTCTACCTAAAATTCATAATCTGAGATTTACATGTATGTTTTTTTGCATGCATGTGTTGGTATATGGTTGCCCATGATAAATTGTGTCTTTTTAAGTGAATATTAAATAGAGAATATACTTGAAATGACATTATATTAAATGTCTTAATTTGGGTTCATAAGCACAGCTTTTCAATGTGTGGGTTTGGATTTTGATTACAAAGTCTATAAAGTAGAAAAATCAGTGAGTGTTTTATATTCAGATATGTTCACCTTATATGTAAGCCAAGAGCCTTTTAGATCTGACTGATACTTAACAATACTAAGTTCTCTGAGCCAACTTCTGAGCTGAGTCTGATACTGGCTACAAAATGCCATGAAAATATCTGTAATGTAGACAAAGATTCTTAATTCAGAAAAGCTCCTAATCTTTTATCTCCTTCATACTAAGCTGATTTAGGTGCACATGCACACACACACATACACACACACACACACACATACACACAACTAGCGCTCTCCTTTCCTTCTCTTTTGTCTGACATTAATACCATAGCCTAGTAAGGAATTGGTGTAAAACAATTATTTCAAAAGTGAAGCACCCTCACTGTTTATCTATACTGTAGAATTTAGGCTGTATGGATAGCTATATTATTTTTAATGTGGTGATCATAAGCCATTTTTAAGAACATAAATGGGCACTAGAACATCTGGAAGCCACAAAGGTAACAGATACGATTGCCTTCCCCTCAGCCCTGTAGCAACCCATCCGTCATTGTCAGACCAGCACCCTCCCTCCAGCTCCACTGCACACACTGAGTCTTACTGACTTGCACAACTGGAATTTGGGTTTTGTTATCACATCTCTTAGGAACACGCTTAAGTCTCGTTACATCATGAGCAGTCAGCCAACCAGAGCCCAACTGTAGGCACAGATCACCTACTCAGGGTAGTCTGACTTCTGCTTCAGTCATTTAATTTAATGGGGAGAAGAGAGAGTGATTTCGTAAAGTTTGGTGTATGGAAAAAGAGACACGTTAATAAATATCATAATGCAGTACTTAAACGCATAGGAGGGTTTAAGAAAAATTTGATTTATTTGCATTGATATTATCTTCTTTTTTTTCCTTTACCCATTTTCTTGTGTATCATCCTGTTAAAGCTTTTGTGAGTAAATATTTCACTCTATAATATTTGAAGAAAAGGCAGTATGATAGAATCACTTGGGGAAGAAGAAGGAAAAGTAGGACCATGTGGGTAGTGATTTGAATTAGCAATTAAGTGAATCCCTGGTCTGCTGCCTGAAGCACAGAGATAGGAAGGGTCAAGGTCGGACTTTGCTGATTTTGGTAAAGTTATCCATGGCATTCATCAGTGAAAGTGTAGCTGGCCAGCAGTATATTTCTAGCTCATTTTTGTTTTCTTAAATCTAATGCAGGTGACCTGAAAATTCAGATAACTGCTCTCTTACATCATTTTCAAATATCTAAATCTCACAGAGACAGACATTGTTCAGAGTGAACTAAATGTTATTGTGTGTAAATAGTTCTTTTGCTTTGTAAACTTAATTTCTTGACATATTTAATACTTCTATTCTTGAGACATTTCTTTACCTCCAACTATTATTTCTAAGTCAACACAACCATTCATAGCATTTTTCTGGACTTGTGTCTCACAAATTTCTCCTTCCCTGTCCGTTTCTGATATCCTTTAGGAGGCCAGTACCCTCATTTTGTGGTTAGGCAAGTAGGTGAGTATTCGTGTGATTGTCTAGAAGCCTTGTTCTCAGATTCCCAGCATGTGCTGAGAGACCCGAGGGGTATCATTTAGCTCCCGAAGTTTCCGTATTACCCAGTCAAAAGGTAAAGCTACCCTCATCCCAGCTTTATCCTAGGTTTTCTGAAGATTGATCAAGAAAGGGAAAGTAACTGATGCTTTTAAACTGTGAATCATGAGGATTAGAAAGTATTATCATTATACATTGCTATTTCAGTGTTTATTGTGTTTTCATGTCATTTTTATTTTCAAGGTTAAAACAGTCCATGAAAAGAGACATTTTATAAGCAACTATATCAGCAATCTACACTGAAGGTTGTTTTGTATTCACTTCCGTTCCAATATATAGAAAATGCTATGTAGTTGCTTAATGGACATAAACACGTGCTTGCATTTGGCCCTCAAGTCACTCGGGGTATAAGGCCTCCTTCAACAAATGTCAGTGGCTAAACAAACACCAGTCTGCTGAGATCCCAGAGAAAGTGAATTTTCAGATTGAGATGGAATCTGAGAAGTCTTATAACTGTGACCTTTGTGCTACTGCACCCTTAGAGATACGGTAGTTCTTTTGAGGGATGGAAAAGCAGTATTTGTTTTATTGTAATTGTTTAAAATTAGCCCAGTAGTATTTGAATTGTAAAACAGTATGAGGAGCTGGTTACTTAGTAGGTATGTTTTTGTACACATTGTTTCAATCTAAATTATTCCTATCTGGTTTTTCTAAGCATTTTATCCAGTAGCATACAGAAAGCTAGTGGTTCACTTGCAAATTAGTAGAAATCAATTCCACTAGGAAATCAGAGTTGTAATCTAGTTCAAAATGCTGCTCAATTTAATATAACTATGACTAAAAATGAAAAAAAAGCATATGTTCAGGTATGGTGAAAATAGCTTTTGTGTTAGAAAAGTGTACATAATATCCACAGATAAATTTCAAAACATGTTAATTAGGAAATTCCCATTTTATTTCAGGCATTTTTCTACCTTTTATTATATTGCTCTAGAATTAGAACTCTATTTAGAACAAAGGTCTTCTGAGTTAGCTTTTTGAAACACTCCAGATCAAATGAATTTATTGAAGATTACATTTCTCTTCATTTAGCCCCTGTGGTATTTACCACATTTAAAATGCTTCCTGAAAAGTCTGACTAATAAGAATACAAAATCCATAATCTTTTTGGTATGAGTCTTTGGGAAGTATATGTAAAGTTAGAAGATTCAAGAATTAATACCTAGTTATCTTGTAGTATACTGTTAGCATTCTTCAGTGGCAATCAACAGAAATTGGCCATCAGTAATGGGGAGAAAAGAAATTTGTTGAAATAATTGAGGATGGCTCACAGAATGAAAAGTTGAATAGCCAATCTTCAGAAAAGACATAAGGTTTGTCTGTAAATACAAGCAGCGAGAGTGAGCAGCCCTCCAAGACATGGCAGGGGACGAACCTGTGCTGATTCTTTCCTCATGGCCCTTGGCTTAAGGATCACATTTCTTGAAAAATGTTTTGGCCTGTCTTAAAACATGTGCCTGTAGCTTACCAGGAAGTTCTGGCCATCTTTATGGTGCATGCCACCAAGATTGCATGAGATTGGGAAGGGAAGGTTTGAATAATGGAGTTGCTGTTATGAGAAGGGGTGAGGATGCGAACCATGGCGTTACAAAGTAGTGAGCTCAGTGATTTATTCTGAACTGATTTACTTCTCATGACAATCCTATAAGGCAGCATTATCATTCTTTTGTTATAAACAATCGTATCTTCAGTTACACAGCTATAAAACAGGGTGTCAGAATTCTAGCAAGTTCTGAATCAAAACCTGTTCCTTGTGTTAGTGCGCACACACACGCACACACACCAAGTTCTTAAGAGATTAACGTTTCAACTCAAATGATTCAGCCACTTCTATTGTTTATATTTGTCCCTGTTTATTACTTTATCTTTTGCCATTTGGGGAACAGCAGTGATACCTTCCTGTTCGTTCAGACCACTCACCTGCATGTTGTATTTGTGAGCACTGAAGGGCATATTGATAGCTGGGCAAGAAGAATGCTACTTGTGAATGTGAATAAGAGCATTTTCCTTGACCTCCATAACTTATCAAACAGCAGCAATGATGGCAACGGGCTTTTATTGGGGAATTCGTCTGATGGCAGATGGGCAGAGCCCTGGGGATATACAGATGTGCACAGTGTGGCCCCGACAATCTGGTTATCTAGTATAGAAGAGATCATACACAAAACTTACAAAAAACTCAGTGTTCAATCCAAAAATGAGAAATCATCTTGTACAACTTTTGCATTTTGCAGGAAAAAAGGGAAGAGTGCAGAGGTAAATGGAAAGCACAACTTAGTACAGTAGTTTAGTACAGGGTCATAAATACTGTGCTTTAATGCCTAGTCTGTGGTTCATGGTGATATAACACAAGGATCATGTAGTGAGGTCCACAGATCATACATTCTGCAGGTTTTCTTAAAAAGTCATGATTTATCAGTTGTTTTCAGTTTAGGTGGGTTTTTTTCTTTTTCTTTTTTTTTTTTTTTTTGGTTAAATGAGTTGAATTGAAAGCAAGAGGCTGGCAAGATGTAGGAAACAGATCCAACTATGTGCCTTCCTGCTGTTTACTGCTTCAAATGTTGGAG